CTGCCATGAAGCTCAAGCACACTTGGGTTATGCAGCAGAACAATGATCTGAAACACCAGCAGATCCACCTTTGAATGGCTCAAAGAAAGCAAGATGAAGGTTTTGGAGTGGCCTAGACAAAGTCCAGACATAAATCGTCTTAAGATGCTTTGGCGTGACCTTACACAGGCCGTTCATGCTTGAAAACCCTCCAGTGTAGCTGAATTAAAACAAGTGTGCAAAGAAGACTGGACCAAAATTTCACTACAGTGATGTGAAAGATTCTTTGCCAGTTATTGCAAATGCTTGATTGCAGTTCTTGTTGCCAAGGGTGGCACAACCAGTTAAGGGTTAAGGGGCCAATTACTTTTTTTCAGCACTGTTAATGACAGTATTGTCTCTAATGGTATCCCACTTTTGTATTTTCAGAACATTGATAGTGCCGTCCAAGTACCTCATGACAGTGATGATTATTGTTATGATGATTGGCTTTTACTTCTTTGCACGCCACGTGAGTGTCACATCTATGTAACACCCGGAGGGTTAGAACAAGAAAATGTTGTTCAACAAAATTCTAATTTTTCCATAATGGGTTTCTCTCAAAATATGTCATTAATTCTGTCTCTGTTGCGTGTCTGTGTGCAGCTGGAGCAACAGTCAAGGAAACTATTTCTGTGGAAGATTGGCGTGCACGATCAGAAAGAGAGAGTCTTTGAAATGAGACGCTGGAATGAAGCGTTGGTCACCAACATGCTGCCAGAGCATGTGGCAAAACACTTTCTGGGCACTAAAAAAAGAGACGAGGTATATATGTTGAGTTTGTTACCATAGGAGTCAGGGAGAGAAAACAACATGAGTGAGAATGGAGGAGAAGCCATATTAAACAGCATTTTGCGATTTAAAACCATTTGAGCTTACACCTTCTGTGTGAGCAGCAGAAACAGTTGTTCAAAAGCAGCTTAAAGTAATGAAGGTACCGCAGGTGATGCTGTAATGTGCCATCTTGTGGCCTATCTTATAATTACATATTAGTAGCAATAAGCTTAAAAACTGTTTTTTATGACCCAACAAGTCATTTGTTTTGTGTAGGAGCTGTACAGCCAGGGGTATGATGAAATAGGGGTAATGTTTGCATCCATCCCCAATTTTTCTGATTTCTACACTGAGGAGAGCATCAATAACGGGGGCATTGAGTGTCTGAGGATTCTCAATGAGATAATCTCCGACTTTGACAGCGTGAGTTCTGGCAATGTTGCACACTAAACGTACACTAAACTAAACGTGACCTCAAAGCATGAACGTAACACCAGGAAGTAAAACTAATCAGTGTCCACGTTCCCCACCAGTTATTAGACAGGGACGAGTTCAGGTGCATTACTAAGATCAAGACGATTGGAAGCACCTACATGGCCGCGTCAGGCCTCACACCAGAAAGCAACACAAATGGATATGGCAACCGCAAGGTGTGATAATCCATCAGCATTATATGTCTATACCAATATGTTGAAGCCTTTTATCTAAAGTGATTATTCTAATAATTATAAGAGCTATTTACTGGTTGTCTACAGCCAGAGGACCAGTTGCTGATTGAGCGCTGGCAGCACCTCGCTGACCTGGCAGACTTTGCCTTGGCCATGAAAGTCACCCTCAACAACCTCAACAAGCAGTCCTTCAACAACTTTATGCTACGAATCGGTCAGTGTTTGCACCTGAGAGTGAGTCTGAGTGTCCAACTGCAAATGTGCACATGTGTTCATGTCTCCTTTTTGATCCCTTAAGGTCTAAATAAAGGAGCAGTTCTGGCCGGAGTGATCGGAGCTCGTAAACCTCACTATGACATCTGGGGCAACACGGTCAACGTGGCGAGCAGAATGGAGTCAACTGGAGTGATGGGAAACATTCAGGTAGCACAACCAAACGTTCCCAAAACCAAAGATGCAGCAAATTTAAGCATCCTTTTTATTGTGTCCATCTCTTCTAAATGCTATGTTCTACTTGGACCTCAGGTTGTAGAGGACTGCTATGACATCCTGAAGGAGTACGGCTTTCGTTTTATCCGAAGAGGGCCCATATATGTCAAAGGGAAAGGCGAGCTGCTGACCTTTTTCATGAAAGGCAAAGACAAACCCAATACCAAAGATGGTGCAGTAACTACTACCCTTCCACACCAAGTTGGAGACCTTCACTGACTTTTTTTTTAATCTCTTCAAATGGCATAAGCCCAATAACAGGCCTGAGCAAAATGTCAGTTTTGTCAGCCATGAATTTCACAGGATCTTGTTTTTTGTGCGCTTCATAGCCCGTGTGAAGAATGTGACGGTAGACTGACACAACAAAAACGCTAATGCACAATTATCAGGACTTTTATAGACAAATGTTTCAAGAAACATGTTTTGTAAAGTTGTAAACAAATTTAAGAATGTCTCAGAGAGCTCCTGAGCTAAAGATTGCTGCACTTGATTCACAGAGTGCTACAGACACGAGAAAAACAAAAATCTATGTCTGATTTTTTTCAACATTTTTCATTTCATTATTTGAAAAAGCAAACACTTCATCCTCTTTGATACAGTCCCTGTGAATAAATTTTATAAGCTCACATATAAAAAGGACATTGTTTAAATCTTGAAAAACGGTATGAAAATTAAACACATCCCTACAGACTATGACCTGTGACAAGGTGAGGTGTTTATGTATTTTGTGTGGTCATCGTACATAGACCTAAAGAGATTTCTGTAGCCTTTAGAAAAATTATTATGTATGCTTTTATGTCTGGTAGGTGATTTAAACAAGATCTCCAAATTATCTGAAATAAATAATCCCACAATAAGTAGTATTATACATGTAAAGAACTATCAGTTTGTCCAGGATTGGCCGCTCCATCGAATTACTCCAAAGTGTTTGCTGTTTCATGTTCGAAAGAGTCTCTAAAAAGCCAGAAATTTTATATCAGCATCTACAGGTAACTGTAAGGGTCAAAATGTATCTTTCTGCAATCAGGGAGAGAGTGAATAAAATCAAGCTGCATAGAAGGTTGAATTTGGCTAAGAGGATTTTAGAGTAAAACTACATTTTGTCGGTGAACACAGATGCAAAGGCAAGGGCTTTTAGAATAAATTTTTCTGCACAAATAGAGTTCATTGCTTACACTAACGGTAAACATGGTTTGATTGGTTTTTTTTCCAGGCCAAAGACAATTTTGGGGGGCAATGTAACCTCATACAATTTGTGGCGAGAATGTTCTGGCTTAGGTTTATTTCACTGCCTCTGGGAGCACACAGCTTATAATGAACAATCCAAATATGAATTCACATCAAAGGGCGCATGAAGGTAATGTGAGGCCATGTATCTGAAAGCTTAGGTTGAAGCAGATGTGGACTTTTTTTTTTTACAGGATAATGATCCTAAACAAGAAAAGAGCACACAAAGAATAAATGTAGGGTTAGTCAGAACCTAGAAGTGAATCCCACTGTATTTTTGTGTGGAGGTTTGAAATAAGCAGTACATAACAGAAAAGGTACCAAGAAAGGTACTGAAGGAACTGAGCATGTAAGAGTGGTCAAAGCTGCTCATCTACAAGATCATGAAGTAGCTTCTGGTATCAGCTAGTTCATATTAATGTTGAATAAACGAATGGAAGAGGTCTGAGGCATACAACATCTTTATCGGTATGCACTGTTTCAAAAAGGGTCGGGTGTTTGCCTAGCCAAAACGTATGTAAATTACAAGTTTTCAGTAGATAAATAATACATGACTTTCCTTTTTCCTTTCTTTTTTATGTATCTTGCACTGGAGTTTCTTTTTTAAATGATGTAAGGTAATCACATTGCAATTATACTGCGTTAATAAAACATTTTTGCATTAAACTTCTTGATTATTCCGCCTTGTGGGATTGACTTCAGGATCCAACATCAACTGGTCTGCTTGCCAAAACCATTTGTCCAAGACAGTGCTTAAGTACCAAATAAGTGTACTGCCATGTTTAATTTAGTCTTATAATACACTCATGTTAATACATTCTCATGGTTAATATAATTGATTTTCATTCTTTAATTTGGTCTGATCTAATGTTAAGATTTTCATTGGGACTGACCATAAAGGACAAGATTTGAAATGGGTACATCAGACAATTCAGGTTGAATAGTATGGAGACAAAGTTAAAGAGGCAAGAAGGTTTGGACATGTGCAGAGGAGGGCTGGTGGATATACTGTACAAAGGGTGTTAAATATTGAGCTTCCAGGCCTCGAGCAAAAGAGGAAGCCCACAGAGAAGATTCATGGATGTAACCAAGGAAGACATGTCGAGGGATGATTTGATAGAGGAGAAATAGGGTGAGATGAAGGCAGATGATCTGCTGTGGCAACCCTAAAGGGATTGAAAGAACAAGTTTACACTGATCCACTTTGGAAGTTCACGTTTATTTGGGCCTGGTTACTAGTCTTCTGACTGAGTGATTCATTAATTCAATCACTTATGAAGATACCAGAAAATAAACCCTTGTTCAGCCGAAGTCAACTAATTTTCCTGTAAGGTTTAAATGAAAATAGTTGGCTTATGTTGTTATTCAAACTAATAAAGAGCGTATTAGTACAGTACAAATAACACATGGCGGTTGATTCACTTTTTTTTTTGTCTCCCATAGTCTTAGCTTAAGTTAAATCTCATAGATGGACCTTAGTGGGAACACTTATGTTAATTTATTTTTATTCTTAACGCGATTACGTGTATAGTATTTTAGTGATGAAGTTAACTTTTATACCATTCTTTAGGCCTTGGATACGAAGATATCGAGGACACATTTTCATTTACTGATTTTGTCACTGTGTTAGCCAGTGATCAGTAGACTAGCTACACTAGATTTACTCATTACGCTAATTCAAAATTCCGGATATATTACACTTCAAGTCTCTGGAGCACTAAAATTAACTTTAATATGAAATGTTATTGTTTTTTAATCATTATTATGCTAACTAGGTTCTCATGCACCACCCATGGATTATAATTCTACCCGGAAGCCTGGTAGTGTAGGAATTTCCGGTTACGTCAGGGCGTCAGGACTCCATTAGAGCTGCAGCTGTTTTGAGAGAAACAACAACAAAACGGGCTAACTGATAGAGCTTCCACAGTGACAGTACGCTCTAAGCCTGACAACGAGGCCTCAGATCTGGAAGCGTAACCTTCATTTCCCACCCGGAGCTTCGCCGGCTTCTAACCACGGCCGCTCTCGGTGAGGAAACTCTGGCCTCCGCTTCCTCCTCCTCCGACTCGGACACCGGCGGAGCGTCGCCGCCCCCGCGGAAGAAGCACCGAGCCTCGGCGGTGGAGGGAGCAGGAGAGCCCGGGGCTTCAGCAGTTTTGACAGGCCTTTCCGGAGTTGTCCTAGGACGCGGTGCATACTCTCAAGCCACCTCTGCCATCCACTTTAACCGAAGTGTTGTCAACAACCTCAGCAGCAGTATGCAGGCAAACGGGGCTGGACAAGGACAAGAATCCTCGGAGCTCTCTTGCTTAAACAGCGCACAAAACGGGGAGTCCTCCTCGGTCGGAGGAACTCACTCAAATGGCCTTCTCTCCAGCACAGATAACGGTAATAACGTCGGTACCAGTAATGGATCTTCAGTAGGGCCTTGCACGGGGACTTCGGCTGCTTCTACGGCCTCGAGTTCGGAGGTCGGCTCGTTGAAAAAGAAGAAACGACTAACGCAGGCGGAGGAAGATGTCATACGATTAATAGGGCAACATCTCCACGGACTAGGACTGAAGTAAGTTTATTCAGTGTGTCAGTCGAGGAAAAACTCGCGAAGGCAGTTAACCTTAGCATCGAACATAAGAAGTGCAATCTGTATAACTTGGATTTTATGTGAAACTGCGAAATAGCAGCTGGTAAAGGCGATATTAGTGCGCTTGACAGACACAAACATGGGGGGATGGGGTTGGTAGTTAGCCTGTGAGCTCGGCAGTTGGTAGAAAGAAGGGGTCCATCTTGCACAATAACAGCTAGCATCGGTAGCCTGCGCTAAGGTGTTGTGTCTTGATATTAAACGTTCACGGAAAGATAAAACATAGTTCAACATAGAGCTGTTTCACGAGTTCACCATAACTCGTAGGAGCCTTTTAATGCCAGTTACGTCACGATCTATTAATAAATGTTATAGATTTCGCAGTGAATAAAAGGCATTACATCATCTAACATTAGTAACGTTTGTTCACACAAAACAAGGATCGCAGATTTGTTGTGGTTTTTTCAGCTATATAAAATGGAGACGGTTCAGTTTTCCTAATTAGGTACTTAAGCAGAATGATCGAGTTCACGACGTGAGTTTTACGTTTGAGAGGTTATTGCGCAAAAAGCAATTGCGGAGAAAAATGTTAGGTTAGTGCACGGGGTTTTCAACGTCGGCTTTTTACTCTGGTGGCTTTCTTCTTTTTGTAGCTCGTCTGCAAATGCAGCACGTTTGTTTTTTTTCATTTGGGGTTTCTTTTTAGAGAGGTACATGGAGAAGTCTTGTAATGCTGAAAGACACTGTAATAACGGGTATGGGTTATGAAATATGACCTGGTTATTTTAGTATTCCTAGTGCACTCTTTGCATTTCTTGATGGGTCCTTGGAACTATTTATTTCATCAAATCAGGCACCATTTTACACAGCTATCTCACGAATGTTAGAACTTCTCTCCTGCCTTCATTTTTTCCGTCTTTGTTGCTGTGTCCGAGCAATGTGTCATCAGCCAGTCACAAACAGTGACGTGCATGTATTGGAGCGTGTATTTATTTAAAGTCAGCAGTCAATACTGTGGGCGACATTTGTTCCCGAACTGAGCAGAATCGGATGGCTTCATGGCGGCTGAGGAATGCGCTTTCTGCCAGCTGTTTCACATGGAAACGTTGGTTTGAATCTAATTATAGAAATGAGGGTTTGTTTGTTTTTTTGTTTTGTTTTTTTCCCAAGAAACGTGTGTATGGTGATCTTCAAACTGCCAGTGGTCTGCACTGTTGGGTCGTTTGATTTCTAGTGTTCAACTGAGAAAGTATAGCATTATAGGCATTATAAAAGACATTGCTGTGTTTACTATGAGGTTTTTTTTTTGGGTTTTGGTTTTTTTTTTGGGGGGGGGGGGGTGTTGAAATTGCCTGGTATGAAACAGAGCCCCTACATTTCAGCCAGGGAAATACAATCGAAATCGGGCTCAACACAGAGCTGCTGCGCCACTCCATTGATACCTGAGAATGATGTCATCATGCTGAAGGTGTCAGCCACCCCCCCATACCCATTTCACTTGCATTATCTTGCACACACATCTCTGCAGGAGCTTTTATGGAAGTGGAGTGTGTTTAGCAGAGGGATGGTGTTTGCACAGATGGTTATGGTTCACTGTTGACAGAGCCGAAGGGGGTGATGTCAACCGCAGTGGAAGCTTGATTCATGTTGGTGTCCACAAATAATGCTTGGGTGACACAACTGCCCCACAACCGGCTTCTCCCAGTTATTGTTAGCCATTAAATTATATTCTCCCTACTGTCGGCCACAAACATTAATATCGTCTTGTCACCCAGTACGCTATTTGCCATCACCATAAAGTATTGGCATAATGACATAAATGACTAGTGAGGAAAAAGGTCTATAACCTACCTAAAAAAATGTCACTTAACATAATGATGGGCTAACTTGTCAGCTGACTGAGCTCACATTTTCAGGTATGACTGTTAATAGCTGGAAAACCACATTTGCCCTTGATTTTTTTCTTTTTTTTCTTTTCACATGTCTCATCATTATATATCTGGATAACTTCCTCTCCTCCACTCTCCTCCTGTGTCCCTGCAGTCAGACGGTGGACCTGCTGATGCAGGAATCAGGCTGCAGACTGGAACACTCCTCAGCTACCAAGTTCCGCAACCATGTCATGGAAGGAGAGTGGGACAAGGTTAGTATTTGTTTACAGTGACTACATAATAGGAAATATTCTGGGCAACATGGAATATGTGACAGTGAAATTTCACTTCAAAACGCAGAGCTAGAATACATACAGTATCTTTTCAGATCAATCTCGTCTCATATTAATTATCAACCAAAGCTAAGTTTATGAAAGCAGCAGGTGGTAACATAGGTGAGTTCAAACAGCAGTCTGTACGCGGCACAGTTATGCAAACCCAGCAGCATGAACTTGTTTAATTTTTAATGTTGAAGCCCGCAGGACAACCCTCTGTGGCTGAGTAGAATGAACAGAAATTTAAAGGTGAAGTAAAATGCTTATTAAGGCGTCTTTATGTAATTGGCTTTTAAATTGCCAGTTTATTTTATTAGCGCTTGATCCAGCACTTTACAGCAGACCCATAAAAGTGTTAATGCCGGTAGAAATGAATCTCCTGGTGTAACGAACCTACATTGGTTTACAGCACCTGTAGTCAAAATTAGACTAATACACAAGCAATTTGTTTTGATTCCATAAAGTTATCTACAAAACGGTAAAAGTAGCTGGTACTTTGAGATTTGTCCTTTACATTTTGATCACTGCACAGTTGCATTGTCAAAGCCTTATAGATTAGGTGACCATAAAATCTGTATCACTGTTTATATAATTAGTTTTTGGGTTGTTTTTTTTTCTTGTGCATGCATGGAAAGTGCTGAGCTAACGATTTCTCCCTCTTTCTCTCCCCTCTGTCACCCTCCTTTTGTTTCGGTGCAGGCTGAGAATGATCTCAACGAACTGAGAGCATTGATGCATTCTCCCAATGCTATTGTGGTAAGCTCCCTTTGCCCAAACCTGAACTGGACTGAATGACAGTCAGTCAGTTAGCAGGCACAGCTGGACTTTCCAGAATGACACAGTTATAGAGCAGATTCCTGTTGTGGACAGCGCCACAAGAAGGAGCGAATCCACATTTAGATTTAGAGTAGTGTACTGGATACTGTTTTTGAGCAGAGTGTGACTCCACATTGCAATGCTGTTGGGTTTTTGTTTTGTTTTTTTTACATAGTGTCTTTACATTGATTATAACTAATAATCCACCAGTGTGTGAATGTGAGAGTTAATGAATAGTGGAATTGTACAGCGCTTTGAGGGCCCCGAAAAGCGCTATATAAATGCAATCTATTATTATTATTATTATTATTATCATTATTATTATTATTAATAGATTTAAAAGCTATGTTTTGGTTTGATTCTTGCTACTACAGCTTTGTTTTTGCCAGGTCAGTCAATACTGGGAGCAGATATGAGAGATCAAGAATTTCCATTACAGAACATGGTTTAAAAGAATTAAATATGTATACATTTAACAGCACATTGAGCACATATCCATGTCAGCTACAGTATTTAACAGAAAAGACTGCAGTTGTGTATTTCTGCAGTACAAAGTACATCTATCAGGGCCTTTAATATTGAATACCACTGATCCACAAACATTTATTCCTGTGAAGATTAGTATGAGAGTAAATACTTTACAGTATCAGTTTGGTAATGAGGCTCAGCTCAGACTAATTATCCCTAGCTAGCATGCTAATTAGCAACAAGATGAGCTCCAAAAATACTTCAGAGTCAAGTGCCTGCTGCTCTGTGTCATAAGGTTTCTAACAGCCATTCCCTGCTGAGTTATTGTGAAAATGGATGTAGCTTTTTAATGTTTTTTTTCTTCTTTTCTTTTTTTCTTTCATAACGCCATTTTAGTTCTTGAGTTGAGATTAGCATTGTCATAGTCAACATGACATTCACAACAGTTCTGGAGCACAGTTTGCTCGTGTCACGGGCCTAAGGGGGAGAACTCTGAGATGTGTGTTTCTGCCCTCTTTATTTACAGAGTTATGTGGGTGGATTTTGTGTAGTCGATATGAGTGTGCTTGCTGTACTTGCATACCTGAGATAGGATGGAGGCGCTTAACACCGCATCGCATGACATCGCTAAACTGCAGCAATGTGTAAACACTATAAAAGAAATGGTGATGTTAATATTACCATATGTGCTCTGCATATTTGCAAATATATTCTAATAATGACAAATTGATTTTTTTTTAAATTATATTCTACCACTAATTTGAGTTTTATTGTATCAGTGTCATATATCCTAAATGGGAATGTTTAGTTTTTTTTGCTTCCTTAAAATGTGGTACTTTATCCTTTTTTATGATAAAGTTATGCAAACTAGCTGTCTTGATATATATGGTTAAAATCACTCCCTGTCAGTGTCAAAGCAGTAGTTTAAGCTTATTTGTCATTCTTTTATTTTCTCCTTACAAACAGAATGCCAGTACACTCTGATAAATGGTTTTCATTGTTGTGGTACAAAAAAGAAACATGTTTCAGCTTGAAGGCATTATCCACGTAATTCAAAACAACAATAAATGATAACCAGGTGAGCTTTAAACGTCACTCAGTAAAAAGAATGCATAATTGCTTGATAGGGTGAAGCACACAAAAGGCCTTTCTTATTCCTCAGCTAGAAATCCAGTATGATGTATGTTGCCAAGTATTTCAAGGTGTATGAGTATTGCTTCCTCTTTGAAGGTGTAGTCACGCAGATGCATTTCTGTTATGGAGGGAAGCATATAAGTGTTAAATGTTACAATCTGAGTCCAAAAGGTTTGAACAGAGATCTGTTGTTGTGCCGTTTCTTTTATTTTATTTATTAGTATTCCATATTTTCACTGTGCAGATGCATATATCGGTGCCACTTATTTTTGACTTTGATTGTAAAATGTTATAAAGAGCTAATAAGAATTTATGCCATTGCTGGACAAGGTCAGGAAACATCTTATTTTTGTTGGCGTATTTTTCTGATATTTTCAGTATATGTTAATATCTAAATGAGTTTGTTTGTTTTTTCATCTGTATATTATGATAAGAATGTTACTATGGGATGGGGACATCTGCTCTTGGGTGATAATGTGGCTTTAGCTACATGAGATTCCTAAAAAGTACTTTGCAACACAGAACACATATTATTGTAGTTTGGAACACCTCTGTGCGAGTCTTTATTCATTTATTATTATAGATAGTTTCATATTTTTAATCTAACTTATTTTCAGTTATAAAAACTGGATGGGGTTTCTGGCTCTGGCAGTCATGTTTTCTTCCTGAGAAATCTTTGCTTGCTGGGTAATGCATTTATTGATGCATCCTATCATGCAATTATATATTCTCTTTAATGTTTGATGTTTGAACCTTTTCCCAAAATTAGAATGAAGGCTTTGTTAGCTGGCGCCAGCCTTGTTTGTTTTGATATTTGCAGCTATGGGAGACTTGGTGCATTGAACGTTTGGAATTGAGTACTGTTGCTGCTGTTCTTTACTATTTATTTCTTCCTCCTGTATGTTTTTGGTGTTTATAGATTACCTTCTTTATACCTGTGCTTCTCTTCTTTCTACTCAGCGTATGAAGTTCCTGCTGCTGCAGCAGAAGTACCTTGAGTACCTGGAGGACGGAAAAGTCTTGGAGGCTTTGCAGGTCCTCCGGGGAGAGCTGACGCCGCTCAAGTACAACACAGATCGCATCCACGTACTCAGCGGGTACTGTTTAATGTTACCTCTGGCTTATAGCCATCATCAGGATGTTCACCCTGTCTGCACAAATACACACCTACTAACCACCCATATAGCTATTGGAGAGTCCTGTAGATGCTAATGGTACGCCTGTTTGGTGATTTACTTGTACCAAAATCTGCACCTGTATAAATATTGTTTGCTAATAATTAAGGGAATATTAAATTGTCTTACATTATGATAATTAATGAAGCTTAAGCTGTTGAATTCACTGTAAAACGTCTATATGGTAAATGATTTTAGTAGTAATTTTCACAGTGCAGGTCTTGACACGCTTACTGTTTTATCTCCAGTAATAAAACAATCATGGATCTTTTTGCTTGATCTGCAAATGTTAGTCAGCTCTTTTTTTTAAAAAATATCAAATACCTGAATGTAACAAGTTCATCTTAGACCCTTCAGGATGCTTTATTTACCACATCAGAAAGTTTGCTAAATTTAGTCTAAGTTAAAATCTGTATTTAGTTGTCAATGGTTGTAGTTTACGGCCATTCTTATCACTATTTTAAGTTCCTGTTTACTTCCTGGTGATAAGATGTCTTTTTAAAGTGGTAATAATCCTTCATGGATGTTATGATGTCCTCTCAGTGTGTTTTTTGCTTAAACTGCGTTCTTGTATGTTGTTTCAGGTACCTAATGTGTAGCCATGCTGAGGATCTTAGGGCCAAGGCAGAGTGGGAGGGCAAGGGCACGGCTTCACGCTGCAGGCTGCTGGATAAACTACAAAGTGAGGAGGCATTTCCATAACTGACCCTGTACAGCTAACAGATGTTGTCTTATTTTTGTGTGTGTGTGTGTGTGTGTGTGTGTGGGGGCATATTCCATGTACAGCTGTGAATCTCTATGATCCGTTTTTTCCTCTCTATTTGTAGCATACCTGCCTCCTTCTGTGATGCTGCCCCCTCGTCGACTGCACACCCTGCTCCGGCAAGCAGTGGAGCTGCAGAGGGACCGCTGCCTTTATCATAACACCAAGCTGGACAATAACCTGGACTCGGTCTCTCTCCTCCTTGATCACGTCTGCAGCAGGTTGGTACTGCAAAGCTAGCATGTTGCACTGTCTCCGAGACGCCAGACTTTGCTAAATTATAAAACTGTAATATTTTACTCTTGTTGTTATAAAACCAAAATGTTGGAGCTCCTTGTGATTCTAAATGTTGTTTTTGGAGTGGAAGTCAGCTGATTTAATGACATACTCCACTACTATGTCTCCACTACTTCTTTTCTTTTGTACCTTGATGCTTCGTATATTTTAACCTGTCGCATTTTCTCTCTCCTATTTATTTGCTGTGTATTGTAATGTCCCAAACACCTGTAGCTCATCAGGGAATGGACATGCAGCCTCTGGGGGTGTCCTCTGGTGTCTGGAACGTTGACACTGGCAAAGGATCCTTTAAGTCTTTTGTAATGTGAGATAGGGTGAAGTTGATAGGTTGAGGGAGTGGGGTGTTTAGTGTGCACCAATGTTTAAGTAGATGGTACATGTCAAAGCAATATCCAGGATAAATCCAGGATTTTCCAGCAGATAATCACTGTTGTTCACAACCGGTCAGTGGTTTTACTGCTGTGGCTCATCTAAAATCGATTGTTTTAACTGACACAATGAAGGGAAGATGAAATTCAAGTTCTTTAAGGCTCTGGTTGCTCTGTCTTTGTTCACACACCCTTGGAACAATGCACAAAAGTCACCAACAGTGCCTTTGGATTGGCAGACTGAGGATTGACCTCTTTATAAAGGGCGAGCAGTGGGTGTGTTACATCTTCAGAGGATCACAGTTCAGTGCAGTGGTGCTGGCCAGGAGAGTCTAAGCATTAGTTCAAACTCCGGTTCGGAAAGAAGAATATGGAAACTGGGCCAACTGTCGATCTCAGGGGATAGTACAGGGTGTGTTGGAGTTTTCCCCATAAATCTACATGCATATTATGGACCTGCGAAAATGCATATGACCAAATCCTTTAGGGGACTCGCTCCATTTAGTAGAGAAGAGTTCAAGAACTTTGCAGGCTTCTTCATGAGTGGGGCAAGGGTGGAATGGATAGAAAGATCAATCAGAAACTAGTGATCTGGGCACTGTGACTGCTTTGTGTGGTGAAGAGAGGGCTTAGCCCAAAGCTGATGACTTTCTGGTAGATCCTACCCTCACCAGTGGGCACCAGCTGTGGGTAGCAACTAAAGGATTAAGAATACAAGGAACAGAACCAAGATTCTTTCAAAAGGTGTCCTTACAAGTGTAAGGATTAGCGATACCAACTGTTAGCTACAAAGTGATGGGCAACAAGCCAAGTGTTTTTCTTTTAGGTGGGCTGTAGAGCTGGTGGGAGCTCTGCTTTGCATGAGGGGCTCAAAGTAGAGCTGCTGCCTCTGTGCAGTGAAAGGAGACAACCGAGGTGATTAAGGCTTAGACGGCTGCCCCGGCCACCTGGACCTGGGTTAAATGGATGACTGAATTAAGATTTTAACTTTTTCATCTTGTGTGTGGGTGTGTGTGTGTGTGTGTTACAGGAAGCAGTTCCCATGTTACACTCAACAGATTCTGACTGAGCATTGTAATGAGGTGTGGTTCTGCAAATTCTCAAATGATGGCACCAAGCTAGCCACTGGCTCCAAAGACACTACTGTCATAATTTGGCAAGTGGACCCAGTAAGTTTTGGGGTTTTTTATTAGTATTTTAATTTCAGACTTTAAAATCTCTTGACAATTTGTTTTTTTTTTTTGTTGTTGTTGTTTTTTTAATTTCCACAAATAAGGGCCCAGTCCATATTGTGTCTCAGGGTTTTTCTTTGTCCTCTTACTATCTGTGTAGGAGACCCACCAGCTGAAGCTGCTGCGAACCCTGGAGGGTCATGCATACGGCGTCTCCTACTTAGCCTGGAGTCCCGATGACACCTACCTGATCGCCTGCGGACCGGATGACTGCTCCGAGCTCTGGCTCTGGAATGTTCAGGTAAGGTTGATGCACGGTGGCTTCACTTGTTAACTTTAATGCTATATTACCTCTTCAAACAGCAGAGAACAGAGTACAGTTGTGTAGAAAAGCATACATTGGTGAATCTCAAAATCTTTCTTTTTCAAAATGAGGAAACGTGTGCTGGATAACCTGCCTTAGATACTCTGTAATGTGCTGTGTGTACTCAGTGACCTCTCCGCTTCACGGATCCCCTTCTGTTTCCTTTCCTGTTACTCAACCCTCCCCCACTCTTGCTTAATATTTCTTCTCGCTGTCTCCCTTCCCCCATTTTCTCTCCTCTTGATTTGCACTCGGTCTGTCAATCCCCCCTCTTCACCAGACGGGGGAGCTGCGGACCAAAATGTCCCAGTCCCATGAAGATAGTCTGACCAGCGTGGCCTGGAACCCTGATGGCAAGCGCTTTGTCACTGGAGGACAAAGGGGACAGTTTTATCAGTGTGTAAGTTAATTATTTTTTTATTCTCTCTCTATGTCTAATGCACAGTTGTTTTTAGTTTGTGTGCTTTCGTCAAATTTTTCACCTTTTTTTTTTTTTCTTGAAAATAATTAATTAGTCATCTCAGCTATTTTGTTATATTTTTGTTGAATTTAACTTAAGTTTTAACTACTGTAACAATTTTTCCACGTTTGGTGCTAAATAAAGCATATCTTATCTTGTTATCATTGCTTCTGTTAATCAGTGCTGAATTCCTGGCATGTTTTCATAATGGCGTGCTGGGGAAGAGAGAGAAAAGGAAAAGAGATTTGGTTGTGTTAGCAGCTGTTAAACGTCTTTTGAAATGCTGGGATGACCTTAATCAGGTTTTCAAACAATCATAGGCTCTTTCAGTATTGTGATTTTTCTATCCAACTTACTGAAAGAGCCCATAAAAATATGTTTTTCACAGTTGATCTACAGCTATCTGTGTGTGCTTTGTGACTAAGCAGGTCTTTCCCCTCCCAGGGTGGTTCCCTGTACCTTTTAATGAAGAGTTTTGACACCTTGATATATATGAATAAAGATGTGGTTTGACCATTGGAATAAGTTTGGGATTTTTCCCAAAGGTTTCCCCTCATAAGCTGATCAACCCCACTAGCTTCTGTTTCACAATCGGTCATTTTGTCCTGGAAGCAGGCCTGAAATATGACAGAAACCACTTAAACCACTTCACAACAGAGAAACAACAAACAAACAACAAGTGCTTCCCCTCGTAAGCATCCAATGGGAGTAAGAGTTTAGTATGATTGCCATACTATGCTGTTTCAGTGTTTCTCTTCTCTGATGTGTGTATTTCAGGACCTGGATGGCAACTTGTTAGACTCCTGGGAGGGTGTGAGAGTGCAGTGCCTGTGGTGCCTGAACGATGGCAGGATAGTGCTGGCCTCAGACACCCACCAGCGTATCCGGGGATACAACTTTGAGGACCTTACGGACAGAAACATGTATGTGTCAGCACTCCTCACCCCTGCACTGTTGTATACCTACATGAAATATTGTTGACATGTGCCATTTTTCTCAAGGGGCTAATCCAGGTGTAATGAATCGCTAATCATGGTAGTTGCTGGAGTTGATCTCTTCTGATGCCGAGCAGTGCTCCTTTTATAGCTATGGTTTCACTTTAAAACGGATGAATACCACAACAAACTCTTCCCGAATTTTAGGAACTCTACAGCTGTCTGTAGTATTTGCTCTAAAATATCACGTTATACTTATCAGTTACATCACACATCACAGTGCCTGACAGGCTGTCTTGTTCACATGTCCTTTACAGAGTTCAGGAGGACCACCCTATCATGTCTTTTACTGTTTCAAAGAACGGAAGATTAGCTTTGTTAAATGTAGCAACTCAGGTAAGCTACTGATCAATTCAGGCTCTTTACAGCATCAGTCCTGCTAAAATGCATGGCTGCTTTGTTTTGCTAAACTGTGTAAAGTATTCTTCAGTAGTTACAGTCTGTTGGTCTACACCTTTTTGTAGGGAGTGCACCTGTGGGACCTTCAGGACCGGGTGCTGGTAAGGAAGTACCAAGGTGTTACCCAGGGCTTCTACACAATCCACTCCTGCTTTGGAGGACACAACGAAGACTTCATTGCCAGTGGCAGCGAAGGTACAGTCAGAGTGCTGTGGGAATAAATGGCCACGTTTTCACTATGTTTGTATGAGTCTTCTTTCAGTGTAATGTTTTCTGGTCCAGTGTCCTTTCTGCGTGTAGCTCTGCATGACTTCTGATCACCATTATAGTAGTGACTAATTTGTGAAAAGTAACTTAAATGCCTTAATTAGGATGGTTAAAGCCCTTAGCAGCCAATTCCCAGCCAGCCCAGATCCTTTCCTGTATTTCATTCCTCTGCACCCTTTCCCCATATTTCCTTGTGAAATATGGTGAAATGTTTCTTCCTTTCATTCAGTTTCTTTAAACTTTCTAAATTCCGATCGGTGTTGTCTTTTACATTAATTCCCCTACAATTCGAACCCTGTTTTCTTCCACCTGTTTTATTGCTTTCTTTATCTGTTGCCACAGACCACAAAGTATACATCTGGCATCGGCGTGGTGAACTTCCTATCGCTGAGCTCACAGGCCACACGCGCACCGTTAACTGTGTGAGCTGGAACCCGGCCATCCCAAGCCTCATGGCTTCTGCCTCCGATGACGGCACAGTACGCATCTGGGGCCCTGCACCCTTCCTCGAATCACAAGAGGCAGATGGGCTCAACGGTAGTTATAACTGTTGGTTATAACAGGATTTTATTTTGTTTTTGTTTTTGTTCATGTTGATTTATGCTAAAATTCTCCTCAAATCACCATTTTGATCTACTAAATGTTTATTTCCTTCTCAGAAAACTGCAGTCACATGGACAGTTGATGGTCACTAATAGAGCAGAAACCGTGTCTCTAACAACAAACAACATCCCACAGTAAAACACAATATTCATGGGCGAAGAAAACCCAGCATCCACATATTGCAAGAGAAGAATAACCAACAAAAAAAGAGAAAACATACGGAAGAAAATTGTCTCCTCACTGGCCTAGAAAAAAATAGCGAGTGTGAAGACTGACCGAAAACTCGTCTTCATCCGAAATCCAATTCTGACCTAAAGGCCTGATAAATGAGTCGGCGCCCAGCGGGATACTCCCTGGAGAGCTGTAATGGCTGTTCTCCTCTTCCAAGCAAACCCTTCTTCCTCCATGTCCTTGCGTGGTCACCAGCCATGCCAGGTCCTCACAAGTTTCCCAGGAAACCCACCTCCACCTGGAGCTTGGAGCACATCAAGTCCCTGTGATGCCTCCAGACAGACACCGCAGATCAGCCGTCTGCTCACTGGACTACATCTGTGTGCCTGTCTGTCTCTCACGTTACCTGTATAATGTCTCCATGGACTTGGGGTGGGGTCTTGCTGGGGGAGGATGGTGCATAGAGGTGGGATATAGCAACTATTCTGTATGTATGTTTTCCTCTCCCCCTCTTTCTTGCTATATTAACATTCAATCTTTTGGACAAAGGCTGAAAGTCCACAGTGGAAACATTGACTGACCAGCTGAAACACAGACAAAAAAAAAGGCTATGCTAAATGTTGGATTTTTTTATGATAGTCATAGGGTTTATTCTCATTTAAGAGGTGAATCTTAGCAAGTAGTGCCCTTGGAAAGCTTTAGTGTGAAGATTCCACTTTTTGTTTCTCAACATTAGGAAAATAAAATCTTTTTATTCCTTAATTTAACTGCTAAAGGACAGTTGCTGTTCTGTTTCCAACTGACAGTACACACACACACACACACACACACACACACACACACACAGTCTGTCGAGCTAGCTACCGCACAACTCCATTACATCTGCCTAAGAGGAGGACAGAGGAACTCACAGTTCACATATCATCTGGGAGAAGGGAGGGGTGGGTCTTTCGTTGTTGATAAGGTGGCGTTTCCACTATCAAGACATACACTTTGACCTTTCTCAAGAGACATGCTTTCAGATGTGAAAAGTGCAACTTTTAATGCACATCAGTGACTGCTGTTCCTCCTCTGTGTGAGTGTGAGAGTGAATGAGCGATTATGCATGCACACATTAGTATGAGAGCTGACGTTACTGAGTGCAGATTTAATTGGCGTGTGCTTTGTGTGTGTGTGTGTGTGTGTGTGTGCGCGCGTGCATGCATGTGTGTTCAATTCGCACCAGCAGATAATCCCCCACCCCCACCCTCTCTCCAATTCTCCTAATCCCATGTTAAAATTGTAAAGAGGATTTTAAAACCGGTTCTGAGTTATCCAAAGCCCCATAGGGACCTCTATCTGTGGAACAAAGAATACTTGAGAGCCATTTTGTAAAAGAAAGTCATTTTGTTTGTTTTGTTTTTTTTAATCTGGGGCTTTAATTTTTACATTCAGATTTTTTTTTTCTCTTTTATTTTTCTCCCTACCACGTGGCATTTAAGCGACACTGAACCAGTGACATCTGCTTTTTGTGGGTTTGGGGAGGAAAAGGAAATTTCAAAAGAGCAATTCGAGCGAGACATGTTTCCAAAAAGCTGTAAAGTGTTGTTATTAGCAAAGAGTAATTTCTTATGAGAAGTTAATGATTGTAATTAATGGACGTGTAGTAGGACAGCCCCAGAGAGGAGAGGCACCAGTACCCAGATCCACGCTTCGAGCGCACAGTTAGGGAGTGTTGTTGCAATCCTAGGAACGCACACAGACTGCCTTCCTGTTTATACAGTTGCACACAAACCTTCACTATGTACGGCAGCACCCCCCCTCCCCCAAACTGCACTTTGAGTAGTCTTTTCTGCTCTCTTGCACATACAGCAATGGCATAAATCCATGAAGTTCCCAGCCTAAAATGTTACATTGGTGAAGACGTAACCTACATAGGAGATTGCTTAAAGGAAGCAAGCCCTTACTATGCCTCTATGCATCTAAAAAGCAGTGGCTTGTCTTTGACTTTTTGAAAGCTCGCCCTCATTCTCAAAAGGCGTAGCAGCCTCTTCTCGAGGGTACCGCTGTCGAGCTTAGAGAGAATTCAGCATTAACCCCCGCACCCCACTTCACTCTCTAGCCAAGTTATTCAGTGGTCAGTGCACCATTCAAAGCTTTCTTCCTCCCTTTTCGAGGGTATGTAATGACTATTTGCTACAGACTGATATACAGTGAAATGTTTCAAAACAGTGCTTTTCTGTCTGTTTTTATTGGACTTTTTTGTTACTTATTTTTTTTTTCCTTTTTTTTGTTGTTCATATATCATTTTTTTGGTTGATCTCTTTCTCTGTATGATCATATTAAAGTATAACCAGACATTTGGAGTCCTTTTTGTTTTTGTTGTAATCTTTATAACCCTTTTTAACTCTTTTATGTTTTAAATATATTTTGTTCATCTGTATTCAGTTGCATATTTTCTACCACTATCACAAAAAATAAAATAATATGCACAGTAACACTCATGCACCTAGGAGTGAGAAGAGTCGTAGGAAGTGTGTTACCTACAATCAAATCAGGTTTGATCTATCCACCCCTCGCCTTTAAAGAGTTTCCTTCATGTGAAAATCTTGTTTTATCGCATGTCTGTGTACGCGACCGATCATCCCTCTCGGCGTGCCGTTGTAGATTGCCAGTGGCTACTTCTCTGACCCCACATCAAAGCCAAATTTACTTGAGGCACTTGTGTATGTGTTGATCTGATATTCACACATTGAAAACCTCTATCTTGACTCCTAGACCATAGAATGGACTCCTCTTCCACACCCTGCATCATTTCAGAAGACTTGAGACAAACGGTACACACCAAGACCCCGAATAAGAGTTCCAGTAAAACCCATCGTTCACCTGCTGGTGGCAAATGCTATGTCTGTATGCAACCTGGTGTCTGCTCTGTTCTTTTGTCTTGGGTTTACCAAGGGACTTGTTTCTGATTTAACTGTCTTATTTCTCAGAGGTAGAGGTGGTGGGTGGGGGATACTAAGGGCTTACAGTAGCATCTCTAAGTTCCTTGGGTTTGGGCGGGAAGGGGAAATGTGTGGATTTACGTTCAATGTGTTATTTACAAAAGTGATTGTACTGTTTTGTATTGTTGTGTAGGGAAAGTGTTATGTATGCATATTTTCAATAAAGCATTCAGGGTTTTGAAAAAAAAACAAAACAATAAGAATGGTCCATCGCCGTTTGGTGGGGCAGGAAACTTAGGAACCTGTGAGATGCTTAGAAATCCACTCTGCTACTCTCCCATCCTTAAACAGCTCGGCACAACTCGACCCCGAAGTCACCAATGTGCCAAAGCATTCGTGAAGGTCTCTGTTTCCAAGAGAGTTGGCACACTGTAAATAAAATACTAGAATAAATGGAACACAAGGAATGAAAATAATTTAAATTTCAAAATAAATGAATAATAGAAATGTGACTTCGAAATTATACATGTACTCATTCTGAATTTGAATCATGCTGAGACGGGGACACCTTCACTCTTTTAAAATTTGTTGTGTATAATGAAAACAGAGCTTCTCCATATTTGCTTCATTTCAATTGCTAAATAGTTCTGTGTCAATGTGTGGTTTAACATAGTCCTGCTGAAATAATCAAGGTGCGCTGCTCCCGTTATCTGTGCATATCATTAAGTATTTGTGGTGCCTTCGCCAAGGTCCCATCCTATGTGCATTGAAGCAGCCTCTCCTCTTTTTACACCCTCATACCGAGACTCCATGACATTACTGACCTCTAGTGTGACGAGTCGTAAGCAGATTTATTTCACTGTTATCAAATTCAAAGTGAGCATGCATTAAAAAAGGCAATACTTGTGTTTCTTCATTTTCTTTGTACTATCAGATCAATAATTTCAATTCTGTACCAATCAATTCAACCATTACTTTTTCTATGGCTATAGTTTACAAAGCATTCCAACTTTTTGGAAACAGGATTGTATTTTATTTGTCTTCAGTGATTTCTGAAAGGTCATGAAAGAATGTTTGGAGTCAGACCTTCTGGGAGGAGGCTACCTTTGATATCAACATGAGGAGACAATAGAATAATTAGAATAATTTAAGTTAGGTGTTGTTGGCCATTTCAATACAAAGATGGCTATTTTGAGTAGTAATAAGTACACGTGGAGTGGGCTCAAACTACAATATTTTATGTGAGCCCACAGTGCTCAACATTTAAGTGCAAGTCCAAGTGAAATTATTATTTTAAACTAAAAGCAATATGAAAACTATTGGCATAGCTGCTGAAATTCAAAAAAGGGGAAAAAAAAATAAACAGGTCACAATGACTGACAATAAACACCGGTTATGAAAAGGGGAACATCTCGTTAAATACATTTTCATTAAATAAATTGTGATCATTTTGTTAAATTGTACTTTGACTTTTTTGGCAATATTGTGTTAGAGACTTTCATGCTAATAAAGCACCTTTGAATTGGAATTTGAAATATCGGGTCTATATTGAGACATGCAATTCTTTCATAATTACGGAAGCTTGTTTTCACCTTAGCAAAAAGTAAAAAAAATAAAAATAAAAATAAAAATAGATACATAAATACAATTGCCATCCAGAGCTAAGTTGAAATGCCACATTATTGTCTCTCAATTTTGAGTTACCTATGTCAGAATGTCCAAATTTCGAGATACAAACGCAAACCCAAAATATTGACTTTCAAACTGCATTTGTTTTATTCTTTTCCTTTTTTCAGAGGCGGAAAAAGGCTTCCATATATAATACCTGAATATTTACAGTTAGGAGCTTAAAAAAACTGGATCCTTTGGCCCCTTTCGCCCCCTGCTGGTTAATTTCGAACTACAAATGGCATTTGTCCCACAATAACAGGCGAGAAAGTAGTCATTGACATGACATTTACTTGTTTACATGTCATTTACTCAGATTTTAAAAAATACATTGGGTTTTAACAAGATATATATATATATATTATGATATATATGATATGTTTTGTGCAGATGGATGAAAGATTATCGGGGTTGCTAAAATGATTTGATGATTATGTCGTCGGAGTACTGGCCATAGTAAAGACTCCAATGATCACATGCCAAAAAGTGATCTGTTATAAATGACTTCTTGTCCAGTAATCTGTCAAACATATTCTCATGAGATCATTCCTGTCACAAGGTAAAAGCTGCAATTAGTTTTTGTAGATACAAAGATTCTTTATTGCCATGCAGTCACAGAACGAACTCATGTGGTAGTTCTCAGCCTAAAAGCAGACGGTATTTAAAACAACAGGGTAACAGTACATACAAACAAGATATAACTCAAGAAAACAACATAGAAACACCGGAAACCTAATTTTTCGACACATGGATCACTTTTTGGCACGACACCTGCCGTGTTTGTTTTGCTCCATGGAAAAGGGGAGGGACGTCGCCGCGACGTCACGCGGCTCGGTCCGCCCACCCCGCTTCTCCTCTGTGTCTCCTTCTCGCAGTCTGGTCGAGAGTCAAAGCCGAAAGCAGAGAGAACATCGACGGTTCTAACTGAACCGAGAATCCACGGCAGTCATGGCGGCGCCGTTAGCCCACTTTGATGAGGACTGGCAGGACTTTAACGAATTCAAGCCGTCCTCGGACGTGGTCGACCCACTAGACAAGCTGAACTCAAACGTGGGCGATTCGTCGGGCCTAGACGATTTCTCGGATCTGGACAACAGTTTCTCTGGGGAGATCTGCAGCTTCAAGTCGATGGAGGACCTTGTCCACGACTTCGACGAGAAGCTCACAGTGTGTTTCCGAAACTACAACACTACGACGGAAAACATAGCTCCCATTAAACCTATCACCGAGGATAATTACTTGAAAGACGACGAGTGAGTGTGATTTTTTTTTTTTTATTGCCAGTTTTCTTAACGCTAACTTTTAATCTCCCGGCTAGCTAACCACTTTAGCCTCTCCAGGCTAACCTTACATTGGCACTATGGGAATCTTAGCTAGCTTCAATCAGTGCTATGCAATATTTAGCCAGAATACACTTACGATAACACATAACTGAACGTGTTAAACCCATTATCTGTCACAGCTTGACTCGTTAAGTTGGTCTTTAAGAAGGAATAGCATTTTACAAGCAACAAATACAAAAAAATTTTGCTATCTAAAGAAGGAATCAAGAGCTATTTATGCGTGGAGGACGTGTTAACGTGCCACGTTAACAGTGCTGGTTTTCATGCTGGACTGCTTGATGTTGGCCATAAAACTAGTGATCCTTAAATTGTACATTTGGGAATAACTGAATAGTTGTTGACCCCTGTGCAAATACTCTGTCTCCTCCTGTTTTCAAATTGCCTTTCTCACACGACACAAAAGAGTTTCTGCTTTTGGCTTTCATGATGTTTCCTCTTTCTGGATACAGAGACAAGCATTCATAGATTTTATTGCTACCCTGATGTCAGCCTCCTTCACTTATGGTGGCTTATCAGTATTTATTTATTATATATTATCTGCTGTGCCACATGCACCTTGCACTAGATTAATGTTTAAAAACAGTGGGATGGGTAACAAAAAGAAGAAAATCCACAAAATGTCATGGTAAATGAAATAACTGGGTATGAAATAAAAATTGATCAAAACCTTCTATTGACTTCAACATCTGGTCTCACCGTGGACTCTACATAGCCAGGTGTGAAATTGCCTTAAGCCTGCATTCTTTCTAATGGGAGCAGACAGAAAGACAGGAAAAACCATCCCACTTCTAACTGCAGTACTTTTTGTACCTGAGTAAATATTTCCCTCATTTGCTGGATAGATACCTTCTTATATTGTCTTGTATAGTGGTCATTTTTTTTATAAGTTATGGTTCTGTTTAGGCTGAAATAGCTTATGCATAAGCCACATGATTCTGGAGCATCTGTCTTGTGTTTGACGATTGTTGTTTGGGTGTGCTTAATATCCCTAGATTGTCACTGATGGTTCCAAAATTCTAAACTTTAAAGGAGGATTCAAAATGGGTGTCCAGGAACCCAAGTGGGTGATGTCAAGGTCACTCAGTGGTTTTTATCACTAAAATGTTTTCTATTTATTTATTTATTATAAATTCCACATGGAGGTACTTAGTTTATGTTGTATCTCACAGACACACACACATTTACATGAAAACCTTCTATTAATTCAAAGCGGCAAGTCACATCAGCCCTGCAGCCAGTGTAGTTGTCACTTTAACTACTAAGCTGTCTTGACTGCATGAGTCACTCTCCTCCTCCCTTTTGTAACTAATATTTCAACACTGTGGCACTGTAAGATGCAAGCACACGATGCGGGGAAGCTTTCCTACTGCTGACATGAACAGAACAGAGGTTAGCCATGGATTTCTGCTTTTATAGAGGAATTATAGCGGAACACAGGATAAATTGATAACACACAAACATAAGTGTACTTATCATGTCTTTTTTTAGACACACAAAATAGTAGCACACAGTTAAGGCTGTAAAGGTTGCCGTACCCTTGTGATCAACTTGTCCAAAAGTTACTTGGAGTGAGACGTACCCACTAAGAAGTTTTAAAATTGGATTTGCAGGTTGTACAGGTCCCCCTCCTTATAATTAGAGGCATCAGAGTTTGCTTTTTCTCAGGAAACAGTGGTGGATGTGTGACCCATTCAGAACAACTTTCCTAAGATTCAAAAGCCTCCATAAACCTTTTCTAACAGTTTTTGACACAGACAGAGGGTCCAGAGGATTGTGCGTAGACTTATACAAAACTCTGCTTGAGCACCCAGTTTTGATTTTTATCCTTTTCTTTCTTTTTTTCCACTTCAGTGCAACACACAGACAGTTATGCACATCAGAGAGCTTGTCACAGCAAAAAGAAGTAGCAGTCTGTCTCACTTAATGATCAGTGGAATCCTGTGGGGAAGCTGGCATGACAGCGGAAAGAAAACATTTATGGTTGTTGTAGGTAAAGAAACAGGAAGCGGGGAACGTAATAATTGGACAGCAGCCTAGTCAAGCCTAAAGAGCAGTGCCAGACTCGGTGAGAGTCTTTTCTGGATGACTGCACTTTTGCGGGACGTGCCTAGACGCTTAACGAGTTCTCTGGCAAAACCATGCCTGAGACGAACTGTGGGATGACAAATGTGTGTGTGCTTGAAACAAAGTGGGTAAAAAAATTATATATATTTGTACCCCTGCAAGCATATACGTATT